CCCAAAACCCCAAAACCCCAAAACCCCAAAACCCCAAAACCCCAAAACTTCATATGCAATTGATAAATTTGTATATAAACATAAAGTTGTTTCAAAATAAGATGGTTGGAACAACTGAAGATAGGCTAATAAAAAGAGGAATATAATCCATTCAGATTAGCAGAGGGCTTATGGCAGATCTTAGTACCAGTCAAGTTTTGATAAAGAGGATTTTCAGAAATTCTGATAGAATTAATAGTTAGTTCATTTTTATTGGTTTCATTAGATTATACCACTAGAGATGGTTTACTGAAGAATTAGAGGTCTTTGAGACATTTCTTGGTACCTTTCTGACCTTTTTCCTCGTATGTTTTAGGAAGCTTTTGAGGTCTCTGGAGTATTTGCTTGCAACATTTCTTTCTCTAAAGATTAAATAGGTGTCTTACTTGTTGAAAATTTTAGATCCCTTCATCAGTAACTTAGATGCCTCCTGAATACTAACAAGGCAGTCTAACTTGTCATTTGTATTGGGGTTTAGCTTCAAAGTAGAAACAGTTTTGTGGAAGAACATATCTTTTGAAGAAATAGTGTCCTTCCCAACCAATTTATGATGTGGATACTCATCTCTCTTACCCAAAGGAGACATCATCTTTCTTCTAAGGTCATTCGAACCAAGGAGGCTATATTTAAAAGCTAAGACATACTTCTTGACTGCTTTTCTCGAGGTCTTAATCTTATTTACTTCTAGTTTTATTTACATGAATTGCTGAATGTCTGTCATGTTTGCTGCTATTCTTCCTCTTCTTAGGGTACTTCAACTTGTTGAGCTCAGCTGAGGCTTCCATTTTCTTCTTCTTAAAGTGGTTTAGTCATTCAAAATTAGAGCTTGACTTCATTAACCGTCTTTTGCATAGTTTCTTCTTAACATTTTTCTTTAGAATATTTGGAGTCTGAGTAAACTCTGTTGGTGAGAGGGAGGATTGCAGTGCTTTAGACCTCTTGTGGCCAGATATAAGATCCTTCACTGATGCATGATTTTCTTGCCGAGAAATTGTTTTTCGAGGTAAATGAATCTTATTTTTCATATCTTGGCTTTTGAACAGAGACTCGTTCTTAACTGTACTTTCATGAGTGTCTGTAAAGTTCTTCTTTGTAACCACTGGATTTGTCTTGCTCATGGAGAAGTTTACAAACTGATTTTCCTTATCCTCGATTCAATGAGAGTCTATCAGAAATACTTCTGTAGAGTTTGAGGTCAGATCAAATTTCTTAGCTATAGATTGATGTTAACCTCTTTCAGAATAGATTATGACTTACTAGAGAATTCAGGAGGGTTAAGAATAGGAATATCCAAAGACACTTTATGATTCACTTGTGAAAAAGAGTTTATAGTACATCTTTTAGTCCTCTGCTGTGATTCAGATCTAAATCATGAGATTAAACCATTTTGCGACAGCTTACTCTGGTTGACGAGGTTTAATAGCTTTTCCTAGACCTTAGAATTAATTGAAATACCTGCATTTTGGTCAATTTTCTTCTGTCTGTTCAGTTTAGACCACTTTTTAGCATGACCTTTGATATACTCACATTCTGGAGAGTTAATAATCTGCTTGCTCTTGCCCTAAAGGATGATTCATAAGTATACATTTTTATGCAAGCTTAATTTCTTTATCTCAGCTAAAGGGGTTCTCTTGCTCTTGGTTTTCCTTCTACCAGAGAGCCTGGTCATGTATTCCTTCTGGCGAGTCCTGACGTTGATCCTGGCCTCACATTTAGAGTTGTTCGAATCATCTCTATTCTTTTCAGAAATGGTGGTTTTTGATTCTTTGAGAACTTTGCATTTCTTCTCGTGCTTCTCATGCTTTATCACTTTCTTTGGAGGATTCTCCTTTCTTTTAAGAGGTCTATCTTCAAGAATAATCTCTGTTCTTCTTGTCTTTGAGTGCCTTCTGTTCTTTGAAACTACTTTAGGTTTCTCTTTGACAATATTCTTACTGCTATGTGATACTTTAAGTTTAGATTTCTCTTTTGGAATTTCAAAATGGTTCCTTAAGCTTTCAAACACTTTTTGGGAAATCTCATTGATTTTAGTAGAGTCTTGCTCAAGATCTTGAGATTCAGTAGTTAGTTCAACTGAGATCTCTAAATCTTCATTAAGTTTTTGCAGCTCGACAGGTATTTTATCATTAGAGAGCCTTATTTTTAGCTTTATTGAAGGCTTCTGTTTCAATTGCTGATCTTTATTATCACCAATTTTAAGACTTTGCTGATTTACTTGACATAGATTCTCCTTATTTTTCTTAATCTGTTCTTTGGATATTTCTTTAACCCTACTTGGAGAACTACTGGAGTGAGAATCTGGTGCTTCAGTGATCTTTTGTAGAGAAGGGAATTTCTTTTCTTCCTTTTCCTCCTCTTCGAGCCAATCAAAGTTCTGAAGATTTATTTCTCCTTGCTTATCGTCCTCTAACTCTTCTATTTCAAAGAGTCCGTGTTTTGTGAATAATTGTCTGGCTAGCGGTGGAGAGAAGGTTTCATCTTTTCCTATATTTTCCTTTTCTTCAGTATTAAGTTTTGATAAACAAGTATGAGAAACGAGACCGTTAATATTAGAAAGTCGGCCACTATTCTCCTTATCTCATCTATTAGCAGTTGTCGTAGTACTTAATGACTTCATGTTGTCTCTTGTACAGACAACTTCTGCGCTAGGATAAAAGTCAGAGTCAGCAATTTGTTTCTGTTTACAGTTGCTCTCGATGCTAATATCATTGCACTGTATATCCTTGAAATCGCCTCTGATGAACCTCATGTTGATGTAGTTCTTAAGACTCTGGATCCTGTCACATTCGAGACTCTTATCCTTGCTAGGGGTCGGAGAAATTATGATTCCATCTACAGTTGGGCTTAGTTGAAATCCAGCGTCTGATAGTCCATTTATATTTGATGATTCTTTCGAGTTTGCTCCTTGTAATGAAGGGCCTATTTGTAACAAGAGTGAGCAAAGGTAACTACAGATATTACAAAAATGTATGCCCTTTTACATCATTCTGGGCTTTGATGTAGCTTAACTTGTATTTAAAAGTTTCACTAAAACAGAAAAAGAGAGAATGGATTCTGGGTTAGAGTTATTACTACTAAAAATGAAGCAAACGGTTTTAAATTGACAATTATGCATTAATGAATCTTGCCATTGTGAAAGATAGTTTAAATAAATATAGAGTCTATTGGAAGAATCATCTAGACAGAGTCTTACCATGATGACTGCCTGTATTAGAACTATTCTTGTTCTCATTTCTTGTATCAAAGGATCTCAGTTGGTTTGAATTTTTAGAATCGCTCATCGACAAAGACAAAGAAATTCTCTATAATAATTAGATCAATTTGCAAAATTGATGAAAAAAAGTTGAAATATGGGTCAACGATCATTAGAAGAGCGGTACAAAAGCTTTAGATAAAAAATTAAATGTCTAAACTGACGCAATAAGTTTTAAGATAATCTTCTCTTAGAGCTATAACAATTATGCATTAAGTCTTAAGTGATATAGAAGGAAGATATAAATAATTTTCTAGCCATAGATTATCAATAGTATTAAACATTTGATCTACTTCAGATACACTTATCCCACACACCATATTACTCTCCAAATGTCTAAAACCCCTCTATCATACCCTTCCCACCCTCCTATCCCTCAGCCTTCCAATTTCCCCATCTTTACCCCATCCATGCACCCTCACCTCTCTTCCACCCTCAACCTCAAGACTCCATCCCGGTCACACCTCTATTAAAATATTCCTTTAACCAGTACCCTCAGTGCCCGGCTAGGCCTCAAGACTTACCTCTTTCGAAGGACTTGACCTATTAGTTGTGCGATTTAAACTTGTTCAGTCCATATTTAAATTTAAATTCAACGTATGAGCAATTTAAGGGGTTTTGGGGTTTTGGGGTTTTGGGGTTTTGGGGTTTTGGGG